CTAGTAGTACTTTCTTTAAGCTTGCAAAACCTACGATAAATTGTAATGGCCAAAACAAAATATTTCAAAAAAATTTTGTTTTAAACAACATATTTCAGCAGATATTCTATAGGCTTTCTCAAGCTTACATGTAACAATTTCCCTTAGCTCAAATAGTTTAGAAGATGTTCTGTCTATCCTGCAGTAATGTATATTTGTTTCAAAATAAATTTTCCCAATGTTTGATTTTGAACTGAATCGTCATTTATAGTTCAATTTAGATATTTTTAAAAGTTTCCATCGTTGTTCATTAGAGGATTAATAACAACAGTGGCCTTAATTTTAGTGATAAACGACGATAATAGGTTGAAAGCAGTAAACTTCGCAGAAGTTAGGCGCGCGTACGCACACACGGCTGTCAATTAAAGCTATCGTTCATAAAGTCATACACCCGTTCTATGCGACAAACGAATGCCAGTGCAACTTAGATCCCAAATATACCGCACTGTGATTCGTCCCACAGCGCTGTATGGCAGCGAATGTTGGCCCACTATGCGAAATGAAGAACACAAGCTTAGTGCCATGGAGACAAGAATGCTGCACTGGACATTGGGTATCACCCTGCTAGATCATGTTTGTAATGACACAGTTCGGGTAAGGATGAAAGTTGCTCCCATCGTTAAGCAAATGCAGGAACGACTGCGATGCGGGCATGCGAGTAGAAGAGATGAGAACCACATCACAAAATGGTTGTCTCTGGAGGTCGCTGAAAAAAGACCACTGGGAAGACCAAAGATGAGGTTGATGAACAGAATCAGAGCTGACCCGAAAGAGCTTAGGATAGACGAACATCATACCTTAAATCGAGAATACTGGAGACAGTTGACTCGCATAGCAGACCTTGCTTAAGCGGGAAAATGCGAAGATAAAAAAAATTGCCATTCTTGTGATGTGAGTCTTATCTCTTCTACTCATATGCCGGTACTCTCGCAGTCGTTTCTTCTGCATCTCTTGATGATAGAAGCAATCATCTTAGCTCGAACAGTGTCATTACAGATATGATCCAGCAAGATGTAACCAATGTCATCGCAGCATTCTTGTCCCCATGACACTAAGTTTGTGTTCATCACTTCGCGTACTTGGCGAACGATCATACAGCTCTGTTGGATGGATCATAGTACGGTATATTCGGGACCTAAGTTGCACTGAGAGCCGCTTATCACATACATCTCCTGTAAAGGCTCTTCTTTCCGCGCAGGGTGCGTTTGTCGTGGCCGATAGCTCATCTTGAAGTCTCTTCGCCAGAGATGCGACCGGTAAATGAGAGGGCACGCCTTTTTAATTGGCTCAACTTCGCTGCATATTCCCGATCTTTGACCTCCCACTTCCACATGCTCTGTCTTTTTTGTGAACTCTAAGCCGTACGACCCTAATTGGTCCCTCCATCTCTGTGCTTCTTCTTCGAGTTCTTTTCTGTTTTCTGCCATCAACACCACATCGTCTACATACAAGAGAGCCCATGGAGGCTGTCGCTTGAGACCTTCCGTCACTGCATCCATTACTGTGATGAAGAGTAGAGGA